AAGTTTTATTTCTTTCTTGAATTTTCTTCTGAAATATTTTGTCACAGTGCCAAGATAGTTGAGTCTTCTCTCGGCCTTTCTCTGAAACCATGTTTAACAATAACTTTGAAAACTTTTTCGGCGAACTCAGCCACTCTGTGATGCTGTCATTAAAAAATATTACTCAAATCTACTGGAGAGTTTTCTGACTTTCTGAAACAAGAAAGTCAAAATCATTTAAGAGATAATACTATGTCATATTCTTATACCTAAATACATTCCATTCCGAACACCATATTGTCGTGCAGCATAATTACAAGATGAAATTTCTGATCGAGAATAAAATTGATTTTCATTCTATTAAAAAAGTAAATAGAAAAATATAAATTTCTATTGTTCTTTCTTCTTCTTTTTTTTTAACAACATACAGATGTAGTAGATTTTTTTCCTTTTGAATGAGTAATAGCAATAGGTTGATCTCGTAATTCTGGTTGATTTCTTGTTGCAACAGATACAAAAAAACAATCCATATCAATATGCATATAAATTTTATCTTTTTTTTCATCATTTAATTTAAATAAATAATCACGTTCAGTTCGTTGTAGTTTATTTTTTAATTCTTCACGTTGTTTTTCAATTAAAAGACGATGTTCACTTTTTTTACGTAAATCTTGTACATAAACTTTTTTTGCAACAGCTGCCGATGATAAATAATGTAAACGTGAACGTTTAAGAAATGTTTCTAAAAATTTTGGATGTTTTGCATTAAGTGCTGATAAATTATCATCATCTTCAGCTTGAATTTCTTCAGTTTCTGATGATGATGATGATGTTTTTTCAAAAGAATTATTTTCTTCATCATCACTATTTGGAACATTAAAATCTGATGTTATTATTTTCATTGGTTCAATACGTTTAAAATTAAGTTCAGTTTGACCACGAGATTTTGTTATATCTTTATACATTTCATAATCATGTGTTGGTAAAAGTTTATTTTGTTTTATACTATATAAGTGAAAAAAAATTTTATTTTTATTTAATTAAAGAATAATTTTTGTTTTCTTTTTTTTTGATTTACCAATCGATAATCCATTGTGAACCAACAACTTTATCATTTGGTTTAAGTTTACGTATTTTTGCATATGGTAAATTATTTGATATAAAATAAGTAACTTTATCTTTTGAATAATATGCATGATAAACACCACCATGTTCTATCATTAATTTTTTTAATTCATCAGCTGGTGGTTCTAAATATAAAATCATGACAAGATTGTCTTTATACATGGAAAAAAGTAAATATTTCGATTATACCTGTATGTCCATCAACAAAGATTGAAATTCCATGAAATATATTACTTTTACGTTCATGTTGTTGAACATTATTCATACAATCTTTATCAAACTGTTCTTCTAATTTACGTTTTTTTGCCTGTAATATTTTATTATGATTAGAACAAAATTTTATTGAAGATAGATTATTTAATAAAAACTTACAGCCATATAACCACCCCATTCTCCCCAGCCATTATCACCACGTTGAGCACTAGCTCGTCCTGCCATTTTAGACTTATTCTTTTTTTCTTTTAAATAAAATTAATGGTTGTGAAATTATATATTATAGTATTTGACAATTGATCGTTGATTTGAGCTTAATAGTATACAATAAGTGGTTATCCACGATAGATATCGCTAGACATCAAAACAAACTATATCAATAATGAAATAGAAAATCAGAAGTAGAGCATTTATTATTCAATTTGTACTTAGAACAAATTTTGTTTGCTATTAAAGAATAAATAAAAAGATCACTTAGAATTAGTATATTGTTTATTCTTTCAAAGTTCGGAACAATAACACATACGTTGCCATATGCATCCGAACCTTTATTATGATAACTGTTTAGGTCGACTGAAATAAATAGAAACTTTTAGAAGCCAGAAATGGATTTGTTTCCGCTTGCTTGAAATTGTTTATAATACAAATTATCTTTCTTTCTTGAAGAAAATCTTTATAGTTTGGAAGTTAGAAGTATTGATAAATTATTTAATAAAAACGATAATCTGTGTTTTTATCTAATAAAAATAATCAATATTATGTATGTTGTATTGATTTTTCATCCTTATGTTATTCGTATTAAATTATAAGAACTTTAGCAGATGATAACATATAAGAGATGGGAACATTGTCAATTTTGAAAATATTCATCAATAAATTAGCTTTTTCTATAGATAATTTTACAACTAAATTTCATACCAAAAAATCACGATAAAAAAAATCTTCCTTGATTATAAAAGCCAAAACATTCCATTGAGAAGAATGGTCAAATCTCGGGTGAATATTATCAGTGATAGTAACTATTTGATTGTTCTTGCTTGCTATTTAATGAATAATATTGAAAACAAAAAAACAAGTGTCTATAGAGAATTATAGTAAACAAATAGTTCATTGAATCTATATTAAAATTTCTATGAAATACTCTCCTCATCAATTGCGTCATGAAAAAGAAAACATTCAATAATCTTTATGAATAAGTTTCTTTTTTTTTTGTAAGGACACTTAAACAAATAAAATAAAACTTTCTTGTTTTTTTTGTATGAATGCAGTAATCGTTTATTTGCGTTTATAGTTAAGCATAAATAATTGACACATTTTTTTTATTAATAGAAAACAATAACTTCATATGCGGCAACTTGTGATCATGTTGTAAACTAGATTAGCGCTTTGAATTCATCAAACTACATTTTTAACAATTCCAACTTAACACATGCGCGTGCACACTCAACCCCTCTTCGGATTTTTTCTTGCTCTCTCTCTCTCTCTCTTTCTCTCGTATGTCTCTTTCACTCTTCTCGCTTTCTTCTCTCATTCTCAGCTTTCCAGAACTGCAACTATCATAGAATATGCAGACGCGCTTTTACATCTCATCAATCTAAGAAAGGTAATCCAGCGATATAGAGAAAAACCATGCATAAAGTATTCTATATGTCGTTCTCGACGACGAATAGACAATGGGTTCGGAGATGACGATTAAATGAGAAGGAAGATCGCAAAGAAATATCCGTATAGAATAATAAATATTTGTATTTCCAATTCTTCTATATTTTTCTCTCTCTATCGTTCTTCCTTGTGTTATAGCAGTCGACAACATCGGTTTTTTCTTAACTCAGTCGCATGGCACAGAGATTGTGTGTTTCTATCCTTCAATATATTTTTATTCTAGAACTATCTATCCATTGTCTTCGATCACAACAACAATAACAACGGTCGATTTTTTTTTTTCATCATAAACAAGACAAACATACATACATATACACCTGTTCTTTCATGAGATTAATATGGTATGTAACAAACTTATTTACTTTTTTAAAAAGATTTATTTTGAATTAAAACAACGAAAACAAAAAAATTTTACTATTTAGTTTAGAACAGACAGATTTTATAATCGATGTGCTAATTATGGTTTCATTTTTATATTAAGACTGAAAAATATCTAATGTTCTAAAGATTGCTTTATTCAACGCTCTCATAATCAATTAATCTATGGATAAATCAAAGAAATAATTCATAAAACTTCATTATTGCAGATAAACCCAATCAACTGTAAGAATTAAAACTTTTTGTCATATATCGGAAATTGAGTTCTAATAACGGACAAGTCAAGTACGAATCTTCTGCTAACTGACTATGTCTATCACATCATTTCTTATAAAATAAAAAAATGATAGACAAGCATTTTATAATTCCCACGTTGATAATGATGACGAGGAAACATGTACACTAGGGTATGCATAATTAGTTGTCGAAATCCAGTGAGTAAAACACTCACTAATCACAACTGTTGTTATTCTGCTTTGATGACCTTGTTTGTTCGCCTACTTTATATTATATAAACAACCTTCGAAAAATCAATCGGATCGATTAATAAAATGCCTATCCTGGCAGCTTCCAGTATCCATACGACCAGCAAATGATATTAACAATGAATGTCACTGAGTATTTCATTATTATTTTCGAAGTTTAAATCGACCGTTTATAATTTAATTTCGGACATAATTTCCCTTTTTTTTTTCTGTTGTTATCTAGATTCAAAACGGCAACAAACATTTATATAATATAGATATAAACGAGAAAGCAAAAAGAAAATGTTCCTTAAGGGTGAACAGATAAAGCTAAGAACAGATAAAGATGACGAGATCTTTTCAAGATCAATGCAATAGAAGAAAAAGAGAAAACCTATCGACACGTAGTTTTAGATTGATATGTATTGGAAAAATAACTCAATGAAAATAAACTCAAGAGAAAAGAAAAAAAAAAAATATTTCTTTATGTCTTTGTTACTTTATTTCTTATTAGCTAGCTGATTTTATTTTAACATGCAATAACAGTGTATTCACTATTGTATGTTCGATCGCTGCTTTGTCTTGTCGCGTGAGTTCTGTCGTCTATTCTTTACATTTAGATACACTCGTGCGCTTGCATGTTTTGATAATCATAATTTTATTATAATGAAACAACCAGTACAATGAAAAAGAAAAAATATATTTTGTTATATGTAGAAGACGACAGATATAATTGTCTAGAAATAGAGTATTAATATGTTTGTCTGTGAATATGTATAGATATCAAAGTCTAGCTTTAGTGTTTTTGTTTTGTATTCAATTATTTAAAGAGGAAGACTAAGCGGCATTTCTTTGTCGACAATATTTTATTATCATTCGAGCATCAATTTGTTTTCTTTTCATAAATAGCTGAGTGAATGCAAGTCTAATAATCAAAAACAGAAAAGAGAGAATCCTATATGCTTGACAAAATCCATCGTATTCAGTTCATGACAGAAAAAGAACATGTGCAGTAAGTAAAATGAGTCCTTATGCAAGAAAAAAAAAAGGAAAAAAAAACATAACTTCAAAGAAATATCACATCGTACTTTTATCAAAATGACTAACAACTCAATTAACAATTTGTTTTTGTTTAGGCATTGAAAATATTTATTCAATTTTTATTATGACAAAATAAATATGGATGTTGATAAAATAGGTAACGGAGGATTTTATAAAGCAACAATTGTTTCAGATACTGTACCGTCATCATCAACAGCAATTGGCCATTTAATTAGTAATCCAATTGATGAATGTCAAACCTCTCCATTACTATCATCATCAATTTGTGACACTGGTTGTTATCCATCGGCAGCAGAAGAATGGCATTCAATGCAACCACACCTGTCAATGACGAATAATAATAACAATAACAATAATAATAATAATAATCAAATTAAACAGCAATATCAAGAAGAATATCGCAATCAACGAATACAATCAATACATCCGGAATATGCTAAGCATAAATGTCTACCACTAGAAAATGAACCATTTGATAAAGTTATTATAAATGTTAGTGGTTTACGTTTTGAAACACGTGCATCAACTTTACAACGTTATCCAGATACATTACTTGGCGATAAACAACGACGTGCACATTATTTTGATTATATGAATAATGAATATTTTTTTGAACGACATCGTTCATCATTTGAAGCTGTTCTTTTTTTTTATCAAAGTGGTGGACGTTTAACACGACCAGAAAATATTCCTGCAGAAATTTTCTTAGAAGAAATTAAATTTTTTGATCTTGGTATGTTAGAAAATATTTGTATATTATTGTTACATGAGAAGAATTTATTTCTATTATATCTAATTGAATAACCTAAGAGAAAGAAAATAGATTCTGTTGCCTTATATATACATATAATATAAAATGAAAGTAATTTGATTCTAAATCCTTTACAGTACTCTCATTTGCAAATTTTATCATCAGATTGTTAATAGGGTTTGTTATTAAACAAAATGAACTTTTAGTTCAAATATTAGAAACGAACATAAATGAATTTAAAAAAATTGAGTAATCGAAACAAAAGTAAAGTTTTCCTCATGAAATGAAAATCTCTTTTGATATATTCATGTCACGCACTTGATTGACATTATTTTCAACGTATAATTTATTTGTAGGAAAAATCGAATAGAAAAAGAACATGAAATAAAAAATAAAAATATAATTAAATATACTATATGTATGTAATTATTTCACGCTTGATAAGTTTGATCTATAATTCGAATAATTAGATTAGAAAATATAGTTATATTGAATTCCTATTTCTCTTCCTATAATAATCAGTTGTTATTAGTTTTTTGCTACCAATTGGTCAATTTAGTTCAAAACAAAACCGGAAATCGAATGATCTAATAAACTTTCGTAAATGTGAAGAGCAGATACTTAAGAATCTTTATAATTTATTTATACGATTCATTAAAAAAATTTCCTCTTCGTTTCTTTTTCCAGGCGACGAAGTTCTTAAACGTTATCGTAAACAAGAAGGTTATGTTGAAGAAATTCCCATTCAAAAACCAGTTAATCGTATTCAACGTGTTATCTGGGAAGTCTTTGAATGTCCGGAATCATCAAATTTAGCAAGAGTCGTTGCAATTATATCAATTGTAATGATTACTGTATCAATAGCATCATTTATTATAGAAACACTTCCATCCATACGTAATGAAATGATAGCACCATCAATATCAGTTTTTAATAATGTAACAAATGGATATGAGATTCAAGCTGGTGGTGAAACAAAACTATTTTGGATATTTTTTATTATTGAAACAATATGTGTAACATGGTTTTGTTTCGAACTTATATTTCGATTTTTGGTAGCACCGTCCAAATTTGCTTTTATAAAAAATGGACCAAATATAATTGATGTTGTTTCAATAATACCATATTTTTTACAGTTAATTGGTTTAATTTATCAAAAAAAAGATAGTAGTGTATCAGGATTTTCATCAACATTAACTGTATTAAGGATTGTACGACTTGTACGTGTATTTAGAATATTTAAATTATCAAGACATTTTAAGGTAATTAAACATACAATATAAAACACATTGTGAGAACAAGAAGTGACTTTCTCAATCTTGAAAAATTTTCCTTTCTTCTCCAGCGAAATTAAACGATTTTCTTTATTGATTTTTTTTTTGCACCTGAATTCCCTCAATAAGCGTGGGCCTTCCCTTTAATCTCAGTGATCTCGGACCACTTTCTGTGAAGACTCACTAACCATGTGTATCTAACGAAAATAGATCCTATTATATTGTAGCTGTTTGTTATTCTCATTTGACTTAATTGATTATAAAGCACATTATTATGATTTGTTTCTTCCTTTGTTTTTTCTTAGGGTTTACAAGTGCTTGCCTTGACCTTTTTGGCATCATGGAAAGAATTACTTTTATTAATGTTTTTCCTTTTTATTATTGTTGTTGTTTTTTCATCATTTATGTATTTCGTCGAAGGTGATTATACAAATGTATCACCTCCAAGACCATCATCAACTTATACATTAACAACAACATTATCACATCTAACATCATCATTAGATAGTCCTTCAACTACTGATTCAACTCAAGCATCATCAACAACACCAAATCCAAATCAATTTGTATCTATTCCTCATTCATTTTGGTTTGCTATTATAACCATGACAACTGTTGGTTATGGTGATTATGTACCAAGAACAAATTTAGGTAAAGTTATTGGTGCAATATGTGCATTAACCGGTGTATTAACAATAGCATTACCTGTACCAATAATAGTATCAAATTTTACATATTTCTATCAACGACAATTAGAAGATACTGAACGACAATATCAAGCCCGACAAAGAGCACAAGCATATCAATCAATGCATGATAAAAATCATTTAGGTGCAAATGATGATAACGATCTTGGACCTGAACATAATGAATGGGAAACAACATTTAATGAACCTGATTATTCTGATTATCGTGAAATAACTCATGCTGTTACAAAAAAACTAGTACGTAATGCTTATTTTAAAGCATTTCGTGGTTCAAAAAGAATATCTCCAACAATGCGTTATCAAAGTTTATCAACAACAGCATCACCATATTCATTACCACATAGAATTTATCAAATACATGATGATAAAAATGATTATCGAAGATATGAAAGTGATGTAGAAACAGCTTCTCTTTTACATTAAATAATTGTTTTATCCCCCTTTTTATTTGAATACAACGAAAAATAAGAATATGAATACAAAAGAACCTTTTGTTTTCTTCGTTATTGTCCGTACATACATAAACAAAGAAAGAAAAGACTTTGACGATATTTTGACGTGTGATGTTTATATTTTTTCTGTTCGTGATTATATGATTTTTTTAGAAATAATTTTCTTGTATTATAATGTGACTTATGTGTTTATTCTCAATGATTTATCCCGATGATTAATGGATTAAGTTTTTTTTTTTTTGTTTCTGTGTTTTGTTTGAACATATAGTAAATGTGATTTGTACCAAGTGTAGTTTTTAAAATTCATGTCAATGAAATATATCTGCATTCTAGTTTACCGAAATAAAGTAATTCACAAAGAAATATGTAAATTAAAATATTAAATGAAGAATTTAGTCTTAATTTAAAAACATAAAGAAAATGAAGAAGTCAATAAAAAACAAGTCAATATATATATATATATACTGAAGATCGGACTTAAGAGTACTCCTCATTTCCGGCACTTTTAAAGAACGATTCATGAGAAAATTTTGAAACTTTCATATAGAATAAATCTTGATGAGTAGAGCAGAAGTTATCATACGCGCAAAAATTTCCAAATACTTGCTTCTAGGAGGTATTTTAGCGTCACAAAAATTAAAAGTCGTTTTCTCTCTAACCACCACACTTTTTCAGCTGTAAGAAGTCTGACAGAGTTGAAGTTTTTTTTTTTTTACAGATATTAAACATTGTTTGGGGTGGTTAGTTTTTTTTTTTTTTTTCTTTTCTTTTTATCTTCTTCCATTCGAATGAAAAGATCAAAATACTAAGCGCACGCTAAAGAATGAACGTGTCTTTTTTTGTAGACTCTGACAAAAACCAGCGGGAAATTATATTTTGAAACAAAAATAAAGGAAGCACTCTATATAAGTAAAAGAAAGTTTTAGCTCAATCGGATGTACTGTGGGTCAGGAACTGGCTGATGATTCTTCACTTTTTTTCTCAAAGAACTCATTATTCAAAAATACAGCGAAATAATTTGTTAATTTTGATGTATTTTTTTCTCAGCAACAATATTCTATATCTTTTCCGATTATTCGATTTTTATAGTTATAATAGATATGAAGAATCTGAAATCTCGCAGTCGGAAAAAGAGGAGGGAGTACCTCTTCATCTTAGTCAATATATTCATATGAGTACTTATCTAATCAATAGGAAGTACTGTATGCTATTGATACGCCACTTCCAACTACTTTTTTTAAAGATTCAATAGGCACTTATGACTCTTACGTATGTACTTCGCAATGCCGATGGTATTTGTGATACTTGGTAAGCGTATGAGTACTTGCATGAAATATATTTACTTGGTCAATGTGTCCTTTACATCTCTCGGCATAACTCATAAATAAACATTAGTCTAAGAAAAACAAGAAAAAATTCTGTTTCAATCTTGATTTCTGATGTCTCTTAATGTTAATAGCATTTTGTCAAGAAAACAAAGTAATTGAAACGATCTGCTTACTTGTAAAATAGGATTAATTACACATATATGAGATAGAGAAAAAAAAAATGTTTACTCTTTATTCATTGCACAGTTTTTGATGCTTTTGATTTTCTTTGAATTGATAAACATAATTCAAAGTTTGATTATATAGAAAGAAGCCATTAATCATCTAATTCCATATTATCTTGGCTTCTATCAAAGGAGAAACCGCTTTATAATATACAATATTGAGTTTGATGCATAGGTATACCGATATATATTGCTGCGTCTTATTGCTTGTAAATCTAGATGGCGTTAGTTGTTTTAGAATAGATTTATTTTTATATTAAATTTATTTTTATTTTTTCAATTTGTTGAACTAAAATATTAAAGCCTAAAAAAAGCGATTTTTTATTATGTATAGAATTCAAATATGTCTATTGTTATATTACTTAGCTACGATTGTTCAATTGACAGTATTAATGGTACTAAACCTATTGAATTAGTGCACTGATTTGAGAAAGAAAGTAAAAAAAAACGATATACAATATACATTGATTTTATTTCTTCATTCCTAAATAATTTACTAGGTTTCAATCAAATCTTTTATTTATTTTATTTCAATGAATCAATAGAAAATCTTCTTAATTTACATCTAACTTAATCAATAAATCTTTTCAATAATGACAAAATGTCTTCTTAAGGCTCTTAAAGCCGTTGATCTTCAAAATCATATTGAACTATTTCGTACACTTGGTTATGATTCAGCTGGTGCATTAGCACATTTTCATCATGAACATTTAAAACAATTAAATTTATCCAAACAAGAATTACATCGTTTTCACGCTTTACTTGATGTACTTAAAGAAGCAACGCGTGAAGGAAAAATTTGTCCACATTATTCAAAAACTCATAAACATTCAGCAATAAAAAATAATTCCATTCGAGCAAAAAGTACTGAATCTATTCAACATCGAAATTTTCATGCAAATAATTTATATTCAATAAAACAATCAAATGAAAATTTAAAATCAAAAAGATCTTCAAGTTCAATTAAAATAACTGAACGTTTATCATCAACATCAATAGCAAATAAAAGTCATGCTAATGGATTTATTTTACAAAAAACATCATCAAGTCATAGTCAGCAACAAAAATTGAATGGTCAAAATTTTTCTGAACCAAAATCATTTTTAAACCGTGCACCTGTCCAACATGTTAAAGTAAGGAATTAAAATCTCATTGAATTTTTACAAGAAAAAAAAAACCCCGAAATCAGTAAGACCTTTTTTAATAATTTATCCTTGACTTGTTTTTTTTTTCTAAATTGAAGATAATTCACATAATGAAGCTAATTTAATAATAGTAACCTTCAAGGAGAAAGGAAGTCTACTTAAAGGGTTGAACGGTTTATTTTAGATTCATAGGAAATCAAGAGTAGAATATTTACGATAGACTTCAAAAGATATTTTGCATAATCAAGTTGAAAATAGAAACTAAATGAAAGAGTTGCGTGACAATTAAAACTTATAGTATAAAAAAATGTTTATATAGTATATTTCAGCAGCTTATTCTTTTTGTTGGGCATTTTAAGAGGATAGTATGCAACCTGTTTCTAAGCTGTTAATTTCATCTTTTGGTCATAAGTAGATTTCAATGAGACTAACGAGGAAACATCTCCAACTATCAGACGTCGTTCGAATGTATCTTTTTGGCTGTGAATAGGGCTCAGTGAGACTAAGAAGATCGTAGAAGAGTTCGTACGCATGACATGCTGAGAAAGAGATTTCATCGCCACATAGATGTAAGAAAATAGAGTGTTGGATGTGGATATTGGTAAAAAGAAGACGCACCCATACCCATCCCTTCGTTTTTTTTTTGACGAAATATGAGCCAACGTTGTAGTATCAAATGAAAATTCTATGTTCAAAATTTCAATCCTCAGCTTCTCGAAGTCAAGAAAAAGTTAAAAAATTCCATTTTCTTCAACCTATATGGCAATAAAATCTCGGTTCATGTACGTCAATGAGTACGAACTCTTTTAGGATTTTCTTAGTCTCACTTAGTCCTATTCACAGTCAAAAGATGAAGTCGACCGGCGTCCGACAGTTAAATGTGTTCCCTCATAAGAAAATCCTAAAAAGATTTGTGACCATAACTCATTCCTCTCGAGATGTATGTGATCATATCCGCCAAAAAATAGATCTTGTATGATTGTAATTGTACGATGAGGTTGCATTTGATTTATATAATATTCAAATATCCAATTGAAATTATATCNCCCAGTCAGACAAAAATTTGGAAAAACGCGTATAAACGCACAATCGGGAACTGCGGTTGTAAGCCATTAACGCTCATTAAAAAAACGCCAACAAACGCGTTTTCATGCGTTTTTTTAATGAGCGTTAATGGCTTACAATCGCAGTTCCCGATTGTGCGTTTAAACGCGTTTTTCAAAATTTTTGTCTGACTGGGATATATTCAAGTGTCATTCACGCAAGAATAAGAGAAGGTGAATGTAAAATTTATCATTACCTGAGAAAAGTATATATGTCAAACTTGAAAGTTGAATTCAATTCACCTTTCAAACACACAGATCTCTCTTGATATGAATGCCATAGAAACATAGACAACTGAAACTTGAACTGAATTCAACTTTTAAATGCAGTATACTACTGTAGAAAAAGATGCAAGAACAAAAGCTACATCTATTAAATAAGAGAACAAACAATCCACCATAAAGCGAAACGAACAATGTATATAGATAAATGTAGTGACATATTGGTACATAGTAACGCAGAAAAGCACACAATCGGTGAATGACGAAACACAACAATAGAGAAAATACCAACAAATGCTAAATTGATGATGAGGAAAAGTCACTAGAATAAATAGTCACTACGTCATAACAATCCTACGGTTTTTTACAGTTTATTGAACAAGTTTTATGTTTTTTTTGTCTATTTTCTATAATATTTATGTTGATAAAATAGTCTTCAACATAAAAAGCAACGTGTCAAAACTTCTTTTAATTTATTCAAGTAGATGTCGCAATTATAAATCCATACTTTACCAACCATATAAAACTACTCGACCATTCGAGAATATTTATATTTGTTTCACAGAAATAGTTACTACTTATTTGTTGTAATACTTTTCGTGTAGATCATCATCATGTTTAAACGTAAATTATGTGCACTTGACTATGGCAAAGAATACAATCCACAAGGTAAAAAATAAATCATTTTGTTTATTCGGGATGTTAAATTGTATCTTTATTTTTTTGAAGATGAAAATCAATTTCGACAAATGGTTGTATGGCTTGAAGATATGAAAATACGTTTATATCCTATTGATGGACGACAAAATCTTCGTGATATTCAAAATCCTCAATGGAATGAAACTTTTTCTAAAGTAAATTATTTATTTCATATAAAAAAAAAGCATCTGTCTATATAAATTATGTTCTAGTATTTACAAGATTTAAAATTTCCGCATAATAATGAAATGATTATAGATCGAATGGCTTTGAGTGATTGGCTTATTGGAATAGCTATACGATTTGAATATGGTGATAATGGTAAATCTAGTTTATATTAAATGAAATAAATATTAATAGAAATTTTTTTTTTTTTTGTAGTTGAGAAATACAAATCGATTTCATCGAATGCACAAAATAATCAACAAAAATCGAATTCAGCTAATCAGAGTGAAAATCCATTAGAAAAAATCGATTGTAAATTAACTCGTGTTTTTTTGTTTTTCGTTTTGTTCATTAATGACTTATTCTTTAGATACAAGTGAAGAATTTAAATCTGGTATGTTGAAATTATGTGAACTTTTACAAATTCCAACAAAACTTAATGATACAACAGCAATTCTTCGTGTAAATTATTGTCTTAGTTTGTTTTCTTTATTAATTTTTTGGTTTTTTAAGGCTGTAAGTAAAGTCATAACAACAAAATTATCAAAAGAAGCTATTGATAAAAATCAAATAAAAGAACAAGTATAAATAAAATTATTTGTTAGATTTTTATTAACAAAAATTTTTATTTCTTTTTGTTTAAAAGACTTCTGGTGTTGATTTTTCTATTGAACAAATGCAACTTGGTTTTGATACTGGTGATAAAATAATTAATGAAGCTGCAAAAATTCTTCGATTATTATATATTCAAGATTTACGAACATTACAAACGAAAATTAATGAGACTATTGTTAATGTTCAATCACTTGTTGCTGATCCACGTACGGATAGTAAATTAGGACAAATTGGTTGGTAAAGCTATTAACAATAATTATTATTATTTTGTTTTCATTTTTTTTTTAAACAACATTTTGTTATTATTAATTCTGGCTTTTGTGTTTAACAAGATCTCTTGGTTTTTCTTTTGTTTTCAGATCGATAAATTACTCTATGGTGTAACTACTCGAAGCTCAACCGTCTGTTTGTAAAATACTCTGAACCTCTTGCACAATTATTTTCTGATCACGATATTAAAATAGCCGTAGGTTTCTTCATTTATTTATTCAGGTAAAAATGTTTAGAGAATAATAAAGAGAGTTAATTTAGTAAAATGATATCTCTATGAGTTTTTTTTTTGTTTAGAATCTTTTTTCGAATTCGTTAAATTCTATTTAATACGTCTTGTTTTGAATAACGTTATAATATCAATGACATTGTGGTAAAAGAATTTTAGACATAGAAAAATAATTTGAATAGTTACGGATACAAATTTTCAACAAGAGAATTATTAAAATTTTTGTACGAGTCTATATTAACTACTGCATTGTTCATATTGCTCTTTGAGGATTTGTAGTATGCAGAGTTATCAGATTTTGCCAATTAGGGTGAAAAAATCAACACACTTTTCGAGTTGTGAATATGTTTTTAGGAGATCTCTATTAGAGGTTTTGCGATAATCGTTATTAGTAATTCATCATTGTTCTTCTATAATCATTAAATAATTCAGTACTTTGAGACTATTGATTAGAAGTACAATATACACTTGCTTCAATCTGAAATCTTTCCCATATAAAGTTAGCATCCTATATTCATGAAAATATCATATGAGTAAACAATTTTTCTCCAACATTAATTCAGATGAGAGTTCGGACCGGTTAGGAAATATCTAATAGATATTTAAAATAATTAAAGAGTGTTCTATCAAGAATTACTAGTTTTTTTTTGTTGTACGTCCACATAGCTTTATTTCTTCAATCGAAAAATGTTTCACTTTTTAAAAAAGCACAATCAAAACTCTGTTACTTGAGCTAAGTATTTTTAGTAAAGATTAAATTTAGGTCTGAATCGTCGTTCGAAGAGAAACTTTAGATTTATCTGAAAAATCTGAGTGAGAAAATTCAAGATTTGGACGGTAGCAATCAGTTGATCGGTAAATTATTGTTTATTTTTTGCGCTATATGCAGAAATATTTCATACTCATCTTTGAGAAACCTACCAGATATAAACAACTATAACATGATATTTTTTCCAAAATATTTCTAAAAAACTTTTGTTTACAAATAAAACTGAATATTTTTTCAATCCATTTTCATTAACCCATTAATGACTCAACAAACTAATCTGACCGGATGCGTGTAAGAATTTTCGACTGGCTACAACTGTGTGATTCAAGTTAAAATTTAAAAAGATGATTTTTACACATGAATTCTTATATTTTAGACTAACTTATGGATGATAAATTCGAACATATAAACATGGATATAAGTAAGACTAAAGACGAGAAAACAACTGTATTAACAACGATCTTCAGAAAAACACGAACAATATCAGTTGCTCGTCATTAAAAGATGGTGACTAACTATGAACAAATATGCGTCATAGTTTGAAGTGATCATGCACAAGTTCAATATATACATATTGAATAACTAGTATTTGCACCAGAATTGAATATGAGTGTTGTGTAATTTTCAGCAATTAAAAGAGAAAGAATTCAGGACGTCTTTTTGTATAATATTATATACGATAAAATAATTTTAAAACTCATCATTTCCACAAAACATTCAAAAATTGAATGCAAAACATTTCGCTTCAAAGGAAATTTTTGATAAAAGTCAACAAAATTCTATGTAATTTAATCGAATAGATACGCCATTTTTGTTTGCTCAACATTGAAATATGAGAACGTAATTAGCTGAATCGTACCTTGAACTATAAATCTAAAGCATGTGTCAAAATCAAACTTATATCGAAACAAAACATTGTTCTTATGCATTTTGTTTTTGATTATTTGCGAAGATGATGAGTTTTACAATAATTTTGACTTTTACAATATCAGACAAAATAACTTCCAGAGTTCTATTCTTTCGATTGCTGAAAATCACAGGTAGTTAGCTTCGGCTGTTATCTAATTGTGGAGCATACAGCCACTCATATTCAATTATGAGGCGATGTCTACTCCTACAAGATAAAATCTATTTATAGATAGTTTTTAACTAAAGATCAATCTTGATAGAAATTTGTTTTCTTTTTGATTACCGAAGATAGAATTCCTTCGGTTCGGTATGAATTTTCAAAAAAAACTCTGAATCGATCCCATCTCTGTTATTCACTTCAATCGTATCGATTATATATTATAGGCTCAAAATCTGTACAAAACAATATTTGCTAATAATCTTATATATACATTAATGTTTATGAATCGTTCCTTATTTCAGATATTTGTAAACATGGCGAAACCAATGAATTATGATAAATGGAAAAAAATCGAAGTATCTGATGATGAAGATGATATACATCCAAATATCGATACACCTAGTTTATTTCGTTGGCGTCATCAAGCACGCATTGAACGACGGGAACAACGACTTGAAGAACAACATGAACATGAAACGAAAGGCAAAGAGTAAAACATATAAAAATTTGTCTTGTCTTCTTTTGTATGAAAATTTTCTTTCTTTTAGACTTGTTGAACGTCGAAAAACTTTTAATGCAAAACTTAAAAAATTAGAAGATGTAAATACAATAAATATCATTCGAATTCTTATTTTATAAATATTTTCTAATTTAGGGAGGTGGCGATGTATCAACTTTGAAAGGAGAAAAAGAATCATTAGAAAAAGAAGAACGTCAATGGAAAGAAAAAGATGAAGAAATTAAAAAAACTGAACGTTTACGTCCATTAGATGTTGATGATTTAACTCATGAAGGTAAATCAAAAACTTCAATTAATAAAAAAGCAGTTGAAGAACGACCTAAAAATATGACTGAAGAAGAACAGGCTGAATATTATGTATGTATTTTTTTTTCTTATTAAATATTTCAATTAGACTTTTGTTTATTGTTCTTTTTTTTTTGTAAGAAACAATTTGTTGAAAAACATAAAGCTAACATAAAAAAATATGGAATGTTTCGTCATTATGATGATACACAAAAATTTCTTGAAGAACATTTCGAACTAGTTTGTGAGGAAACAGCTAATTATTTAGTTATTTGGTGTATTGATTTAGAAATGGAAGAAGTAAGATAATTCTTTATTTATGAATTGAAATATTAGAAATGCTTTTTTATTTAATTTTTAGAAACATAATCTTATGGAACATGTTAGTCATCAAACAATGATTATGCAATTTATTCTTGAATTAAGTAAAAGTTTAAAGGTTGATCCACGTCAATGTGTTCGACCTTTTTTTACAAGGTTTGACCAATTGTTTTGCTTTTGTTGTTGTTATTTAAAAATAAAGAGTTTTTTTTTTATTTAATTTAGAATAAAAACTGCCGATGAACAATATAAACAAGGATTTGTTGATGAACTTCAAGCATTCCGTGAACGAGTTCAAAAACGTGCAAAACAAAAAGTTGAAGATGCTCTTAAACAATATGAAGAAGTAGGTTTATACTTTAAAAGAAAAAGCGAGAAACAACAATGTTTTAAATACATATTTAATAAATATAATATTTTGTAGGAAGAACGACAAAAACGTTTAGGTCCAGGTGGTTTAGATCCAATGGAAGTCATGGAATCATTACCAAAAGTAAAAGTTATTAATGATAATGATTTATTTATTTTTGATTTCTTTTTGAGGAATTACAAGAATGTTTTGAATCACGTGATGTTGCACAACTACAAGATGTTCTAGCTAAAATGCCTCGAGATGAAGCTGCTCATCATCTTGATCGTTGTATAAAATCAGGTTTATGGGTACCAAATGCAAAAGATGCTGAAGGTGATGGTGATGTAGAAACAAAAAGTGAAGAAGAAGAAAATCAAGATAAAGTTACACAAGATATTGAAAAATTACAAGTTGAATAATAAAATACGACATTGAAGAATTGAAAACATTGAACTCTGTATACATGTTTTGATGATTTCTTTTTATTTTAATCAAACTATTTCTTTCTGTCTCTTCTTTTTTTTTTGCTGGCGAAAGTTCAAGCTAATCATCTATAAGATTGTATTAATGTTCGCAAAATAATTTTTGCTTTTTTTTATCAAAGACTGGAAAGTCATACATATATATCATCATTGTTTAAATTTACGAAATGTTTCACAAACATGTTTATAAGAAAAAAAATAATCAATGAACAAACTAAATATATCATGATAAAAATTTGTGTTTGATTGCAATATACAGTCGTAGACAAAAGTCTCCACTCTACAAAATCTTAGCCATCATCAATGCTGGAAGTCTGAAAATTCTTATGCATACACTTCGTTAAGAGTACAGATGAGGAACATCATTTTGGGTCGGTTGGTTAATTACAAACAGAATTATGATGGATGGCCGTTGTTTATGTTAAAGATGAGTTCATTTGCTTGAATAATGATGTGTCTAGATATTTCTTAATCCTTTACCTCGTCAATGCGATGGTCTCAGCTATGGTGTTTTTCATCAGTATACGATTTGTTTATGAAACTTGTCAGCACTGATGTCGAATCCTGATCGTAGATTTTCTAAGAGTTTGAACTTCATTATCTGAATTACTAGTGCATTCTCACCTTCAAAGGACACCATATGATTTTCCTTCACATCAACATCCACAGTAAAATAAGCGGCGCTAGAGAGAGAGAGTTGATGAACTTCAATGAAATTAGTTGCGTGGATAGCTAAGATACAATGCTACGCAGTGAGTCATTGATTGATCAAGATAGCTCATATTATTCGATGTCATGAAGTTCAAAAGCAATACAGGTACCATCCGTAATAATTTTCTTTGTACTCATGCAATCGAAGATAAATTATGTCTCTGACCTACACTCTTAGAAAAGTATGCGCACACAAATTTTCAGTTGTCCTACACGTATAATAGCTTAGATCA